ATTGAAGTTAACGAAGTATCAGAATAAGTTTCAGCTGCAGTTATGCATTATTTGATGGTTATACGATAACCACTTTCAGTATTTTGTGCCACGCCGGGGGGGAGGGGGGGAGGGGGAAGGGTGCGTGTGGGTGTGTGTAAGTGTGTGGTGTGAAAAGCAGTGGGAGAGAAAAACATGTCCCTACGAAGTGTCAGCCGAAAGGACTCCCTAAATGTTAATAGTGAAGAAAAAAGAATGATCTATAAACTCGTTTTTTTCGTGTTCGCCCAGACATAAACAAGGGCATCGAGTCTTTGACGTCAATCTTTGTTGTTTTTGTTATGCCTACTTTAATTCAAAATTGTAGTGGTTTTTCTTTTTGAAAAAACATATACCCTACAATTTGTATCGCAATGTACAGCCAATGTACAAATTTGTGCTCTCATCATCCTAGACGAATCTGGTACCCATTGACCAACCCCGGAGTGATGGAAGGTTTTGTTAGTCACAGCGAGTACTGGACCGGGATCGATCCTCGAACCAAGCGTGTGGGGCAGTGCACGCTTGACATTACATCACTTCCGCCCTGAGTGGAAATTTAAAACCCATATTTAACTCTTTGATAACAACCAAAATCTCGCTCTATCAGATCTAGCATTTTCCTTAAATGTTCCTCAGGAGAAGTCATGGTGACTACTGCCCGACCGCATCCGAGTATGGATACATGTAAGTAGTGGATAGAGAACAGTAGTAACACCTGAATTATTATGAACCCAACAAACAACGTTGCATCCCACCTTTTATGCCAAACAAAAAATTACTCATGCAGACCAGCAATAAATATTTCTTGGAAGTACATGCTGTGCTAATTAACTTGTGATTTTCAATTTAAGCTTTCCGTGATGCCGTCAGAAATAAGATTTACTGTCCACCCTGAGTCTATAACCCTGTACATAGTTCGATAATCATTCAGATCGACTTCTATCGCATTCTTTCCCATTCCTGTTTCATGACTGCAATTCTTATGCTTTGAAGTTTGTTTCCAGACCAAGCAGCTGCAAGAATCGATAACTCTGAGATTGTAGTCGTCTACGTAGTCATCTACTCCTACAAACCTTGTCGATGAATTAGTTTTCTCGTTCTTTTTGGAATTCCAAGTAGCGAACTTACCTCGGGTTCAACAGTTCAACCAAGTTCATAGTTTGACATGATTCGCAGTCTCATGCCAATTCCTAGCGTTGTGTGAATCCAGTATCACAGATATTTCGCAAATATCATTATCTAAAGAGTTATTATCAATTTACCCAGGATAGTCGACTGCAGCATGAACCCTGATGCCGTGAACGCAGGCGCGACACCAAGTGTTGTCTACGGCTTATCACCCATACCACGCTCATCTGCGGAGTGTGATGCCAACAAATAACCCATTGGGAGAGAGCATAGATTCAACTTCGCCGAGCTTTTTCCACTGGAAATAACCAGAGCATATCGCACTCCGTTCATCTGCCATTGTTTTTTATGAACTGCTTCCAGGTTGACCATCGAGGTTTCGAAGCAAGAAGCATTTATGCCTTTGTATATGCCTATCACTGAACTGTGGAATCAACTACACGATCACACGTTTCCCACTTGAAGGCATTCACTGGATTACTTATAATATTCACAAGGGCTGACCAGAAACTAGCCCTTCAGAAACTGTGTGTTTCACGTTCACCGTCTATTCTAATAATCCCTTCAATCCAATACCATTAAGAAACCAATCCTCGATCACTCAGCAAGTTTGATTGTATTTCTAGTGTTCGTCCTCTAACGTCGTTACTTGGGATTTACCTGTTCTTCTTTATCGGAAAATTCCAAAGCATTAGCCTTCCACAGCTTGTTGGGTACCTTTCATGGATAACTTCTGCGTCTTTCGACTGATTCGCTTTTCACGAAGAGGAATGTTCCACACTGATGAATGTCGAATGTTTCAATAGTCCCTCTTGTCCGGCCTGGAGCTACGTCGTTCAGAGACTAAGCACTAAATGATGCTCGTTTGTTGGGCTCAAGGGCATCAGGATCATCGTGGGCCATCAATTGAAGGCGGTCTCAAGGGCAACGTCACGAAAAATTAGTCCTTTTCTTCATTGTCGATGAATTAATCGTATCTTTGCGAGAGGTGATAATTCGGTATTACTTGAACGCTGTTAAAAGAGACTGAAGGAATCCTAGAGGTTTTTCGAGCCTTTAGACGTGATTTTTTATGGTCTAGGCGTTGTTTCGTTTTCAACAGACATGGAATTTTCACCAATCACTGAGAAAGAGACGTAACGGCACATTGCACTCCAGTAACATTCAGGAAAGCCTCACAAGCGTGCGTGACTACGGCCATCAAGCTGAAATCTCTACGCTGTTATGGCTACTGTTAACATGTGGCTCCCTCGATACTGCTGAATATGAACGATGAATGGAATATGTGGAATGTATTGGGGCAGCAGTTGTAATTATTGCCTACGCCTTCCCCTCTTGCAGTCGATTCTCACCAATTCACTTTTTCTCACCCTGCATTCCAAGAGATAAAATACGAAAAGCTGGCTAAGCTCGTAAGATTTCCTGAGGAATCAGTCTGAGATCGGCTGTTTTGTTCATTTTCCTACCACAACACAGCACCGCCCTCTCATAAAACAAACTAGAAGTAATAGATAACCTTCTTCAATGCCCTTCAGAATGCTGCAATTTAGTATTCTTTAAAATATGGTCCTTCTCAATGGAGAGATTATATATGCTTCCGGCGCTTCTTTTCCTTTAGATGAATGTCATCCTGGCTTTTTGAATGGCAGGTTTTAAGAAAGCGGTGCTGATGCAGCCTTTAGCGCCTCTGCTTGTTTCTTCACACTCTTTTAGAGATCAGTTTAACACCTACTCACCTGGAATATGAGCTAAATATGGAAGAACCGTTTACTCAGAAAGCAACATTTACGCATGATTTCATGAGCTACGGCTCTTCTTTCCCGGTGGCTCCCGAAACAATTAAATGCTTTGAAAGAATGTTTCAGATTTTTCAAATCAAAACGAAGATGTAAATTAGTCTGCAGTCCCGAGCACTCTGCTTTGATTGTGACTGTTCTCTATTGGGAACCTCTTTTGGACTGCTCCTGCTCTACAGAAGAAATAGGATGCAAGCGACGAAGCTACAAATATATTATTCTATGCTTCTGTGCCACACAGGTTTTTTAATGGTGGAATTTTTATTCGCCTGACGTTTCGACAAGATCGTCGTTTTTATAAGCCTGAAAGCGTATCGAAACTTCAGGGTGTTACCTATCACGCTTGACGTAGACCAGTTCTTAACTAGTTGCAACTCAGACGGCTGAACTTACAACTACGTAGAAATTCCAACAAGTCACTTACGTCAATTCCACCAACACCGAAGGATTGCTCAACCTTAGAGACGAT